TGAAGGTTCCAGAAAAGGGCAACAGTCAGTGCAGCCAGTCAGAGCAGTGACCAGGGCCCTGAGTTATGGAGAACTTTTTGAGGTGTTGATGAGATTCTCAGTGAAAGTCGATGAACGTTCTTGAATCTTATGTGATTCAACGACATCAACTCATATACCCCTACGAGAACCATTTCAACTCGACAACTCACAAGAACTTATTACGAAGCATCTGACGCATTTGTTAAAACCAAAACATTCACAAGCACAAGCAGCCTACCACAACTTGCATCATGGACAGAAACCTGAACGAGCTCCTCAAATGGAGTATCGAGAACCAAGAGACCGGCGGCCAAAACGGTGAAACAGGCCAAAACGAGCAGGCTGCCCGTGCACCCTCCAGCAACCTCAACCCCGAGGCTATCGCGGCCCTCTTCGGCGGCGGCCCCAGCGACGCTGACCTCATGAAGGCCTCCATGGAGGCTATCACTTCGACCGACCCAGAGATGACTCTCGACAACAAGCTTGTCGCCTTTGACAACTTTGAGCAGCTCATCGAGAACCTCGACAACGCCAACAACATGGCCAACCTCGCTCTGTGGTCCCCTCTTCTCAGCTGCCTCACCCACGACGAGCACGACATGCGCCGCATGGCCGCCTGGTGCATTGGCACCGCCGTTCAGAACAACGAGCCCAGTCAGGAGCGCCTGCTCGCCATGGGCGATGCTGGTATCCCCACTCTTGTGTCGATAGCTACCAAGGACGGCGAGAAGGAGGCCGTGAGGAGGAAGGCACTCTACGCCCTCAGCTCCGCTGTGAGGAATTACCAGCCCGCCATGGACCTTTTCACGGACGAGCTGGCCAAGAAGGGCCTTCACTCTTCTGGAAAGATTGAAGCCGTCAACATGGATGAGATTGACAAGGTCATGGACGGGCTTAGAGCCAAGATTACGGCATAGAGAGATGACATTAGAGAATTCGGTATGGGCTTACATGGACGGCGTTTGGGGCGGTACGACTTAGGGGATTCTGACGTACGGGACGACCAAAAAAATGGGAACATGGGCTTAGATGATCACTACTTCGTAAATGAGATTCACGATTGCGAAATGGAAGTAATTTCATCCAGATGACGCTTCGTTAACGTGTTTGTGAGTGACCTTTTTGTTGGTACAGTTCGTTTACAAGATTTCTAGTAATTTGGTATTGTACATTTTTGTTTTATTTGGACACACCCTTGCACAACCGCCGCTCAATCCCTGAACTTTCCATGGAACGGAAGACCAAGGGCCTGGAGCAGCAGCCTAGCCTGTCGGTTTGACGTGGCAGTCGTTTGGATGTGAATATGGCAGCCTGGAATGAGCTTCAAGGTGTCGTCAGCAAAAGAGGAGGTTATACATTATAGGCAGCTGAATTAACTCACCCTGGCGGGGTACATGTCATAGTTGATTTGGAGCTCGGGGAACCACGCAAGGTCATCAGGCTTCAGACCGAGGGAGAGGTTGCCGTTGGCGTCACCAGTGGTGGCCTCGACACCGGGCCAGTCCTTGATCTTGGGCAGGACAAGGTTGATGAGCTTGTCGAGGAACTCGAGGGCCTGGTTTCCGTAAATGGTGGTCTTGACACCGGCCTTGTCGCCCTTGCGGATCTTCCACTGGACGACGTTGGTTGTGACCTCAGTGATCTCGGGGCAGGAGCCGCTGATGGACTGGATAACGGACCGCGCGACGTTGAGCGTGCCGTGGGGCATCTTGCTACCGGGCATGAAGGCATGCAGCGAGACGGCCTTGATCTGGGGGATATTGTGCCAGGTGACGTTCTTCTCGAGAAGGTCCAGCTTGCTTCCTCCTCTGGGACCGCGGCGGGGACGGTTGATGTTGTACGGCGAGGAGTCGTCCCACTCACGTAGTCGCTCGCGCTCCGGACGGTCTGGGGTTCCCGGGGGCTTGTGGAGGTAGGTCATTGTCAACAGGTCGGAGGCGACGGTGGACTCGTAGGTCTGGCGCAGACGGGGGAGGTTGAAGGGACCGGGAACGAAGTCTCGTGCCGTGGGGTCGGTAGAGGGTGGTGATTGAACGGGGTGCAGCGGGCCGCGGTCGTACTTTGGGGGGTGGAATTGGTATCTGTTCATGGCATGTCAGTACTCTACTTGTGCGCTGATCTTTCGGAAACAGGGACATGCCTCTTTCCGGGAAGCTGCTGTGGCCTCTCGGAGATGCGCTTCGCCGTATCGTATGCCTTCACGGCGGCCTCGTCTGGTCCTGGGACACCTATGGACGAAGCGGGCTCAAGGTCAGCCAGCTCGGGAGCCGCCTTTGAAGCGCTGGTGGCGGCGCATCGCTGGGCGACGAGAGGCGTCAATTGCCATGGCGAGCGCTGCCTGTAAATGGCCCGACCTAAGCGGGAGCTTTCCCGTAGTGTGGCCATGGTCTGTCGTGTGTACTGTCGCAAGCCTCACCACGTCTACGAGGGCATGTCGCGATGCTGGAAATTTCAATCTCGAAATGTTCAAGACAGGTCCGTGCCACATGTGGCTGGAGTGCTTAGTGCGGGACGACCCCGGATAAGATGTGGCTTGATCTTCTCGGTCTTATCTTATCGCACTTGGACGGTGAGGCATCCCTGCTTCGCCAGCACTAACACCGAACGCACCGAAGGAGACTTTGTTACATCACCGGACGGGAGGGCCAGCAGCACCCGACTCTAGTGGGCTTCCGGGCGCGGCGGACATTCGGGCCTTCAGTCCTCGTGGGAGAGGGTGTACAGTCGTCATCTGCAATCAGGCCGCCGCCCGTCGTCCATCGTCTTTCCTTTCAGCGCCCATCGGATTCTAGCGAGGCGCCGAAGATCCTTTCTGCAGGAGCGGATGTTTGTCGCTCACGCCGTCCCTGGATTACGTAGCAGCGATCATTCGGCCCCTCAGCTGAATTGACAGTCACCAGTCTCATGGGTCATCAAGCGCTGTAGAGTTGGGAAGCGATGTGTTTGGCTTTCTCGTACCGAGCTGACAAGGTGGGCAGAGGATGCAGAGCAAGCTCTCAAGACGCGCATACGCACGATCAGCAAAAGGGAAAAGACGGGACGAAGGGATAGGGAAGGTGAGCATTGTACATCTCGATGATGGGAGGCGGCGCGCTACCATGCAGGTTGCCTGATTGTACACCCTAGATGGACACGAATGCGAACGTATGCGGTTTACGCGGAGCGCATCTCTCGTCGGGTTCGAGTTTAGTGTCACATCCAACGTCTAACCGACCGACCACGGGGGGCTTGTGAGTGACATATTGCGCCACGGAACTTTAGGCCACGGGCAACCCGTTGAATGACAAGTCTGGCGCGTTGTACACGTTGAGCTTCGTAGCCGTGGTGGCATACCCTGGCACTGGGTAGTAGATTAGAGTTGCGGATTACAGTTGAGCCTCCTGGGGCTTGCTGCTGGGCTGAGTGAGGGGAGAGGTGATGCAGGCGAGCTATTCTATTTTGGCAATTCGTCTGTTCTTTCAACCAGGCTGGACTAAGTCTGTTCTCTGCAAATCAAGAACACAGACGGGGTTATGGGTTATGGGGGCTGTTGAAACTAGAAGCATGGGCCACAGAGCCATGAGGTCGGATCTGCGCAAGTAAAGGACGCGCCAAGACGTGTGCCAGAAGGTATCATTGCAGCCATTTACACGCCTCACGAAACAAGAGCGAGACCTAAGGAGATTTTGGTCCAGCCGAAGGTGTGCTTTTCCCCCGCCACGCCAAGGGTCTGGACTGCTATCCAGAGTTGGGACAGGGGATCGAATGACTTGTGGTTGATATGATGGATGAATTGCCACTTTCATCTTAGGGACTCGGGAGGCGTGATCTTTTTCGGATGTTGCTCCCACGGTGGACAGGCCTTACGTATGACACCTCGCGTGGATGTTGGATGTTGGGGCAGGCAACCTTTATTCATAGTTTAGGCGAGGTCATATGTAAGAAACGCGGCAGCCCGGGGAGACAGAGAGACAGGCAGAAGATTCTGGCTTCTCTTCTGCCTATTGCATCCACCCACAGCGTCCGCCAAGTCGCTTGCAAACTAGTAACCTAGATCAACGAACAGGTACACACGTGTTGGTGTTGGTAAGCTGTTCGGAGTCACGGTCATTCCTTGACGGACGTAGAAGCAGGTTGTGTTCATCGGGTCGAACAGCGAAAAGTCCGCCTTGCCGCCGCGGGCTGTCGACCAAGGCACTCCCAGCCCGGGCAGGCTCCCGAGTCAACTGACGGGCAAGTCCGCAAGGAGCACCAGGTGCCCAGGAGGACAGTTTCTAGTGGTTGGAAGTACCGGTGCGCCCAAGCTTTGCCGCGCCGGTACCTGGGCCTTTAGGCGATCTCCACCGCAAGATGCCACCTGCGGCCCTACCAGACCTGGCCACCCTGGACCCCGAATTTTTCGAGCCAAAATCCGCGAACCACCATCTGACCCTGGATCCTCCTCCTTGTCCCCATCGCCTGCTGGCTGTAACGGGTTGGCACACTACGGCGCCTGTTGAGTGAAGGGCTCGCTACCTTAATTGCTTCAGCTGTCCCCCCGGTATCGACCAACACCACCACATCGACATTTTCTCTCAGTATTTTTACGACCTGCCTTTTAGTTCTGCATACTCTTTCTACCTAAGGAGCGACGTTTGACACCAACATACGACCGTTGCAAGTCAGCAATTCCCCTTTTTGCAGCACATGCAGCAGCGTCCCGTCGCTCGTACAAAATACGCTGACAGATGGAAAAGTCCAGGCCTGATCATCCAGCCCCCGTCTTTTGCGACCTGCGAAAATCTGCCCCGCCGAGACGCGCCAGAGCCCCTCCATACCTCCTGGCATACATTCTTTACTCTCAACCATTGCTCTCCACTCCCGTACTGCTGGCTGATGGGGGTGCGATTTCGACCTGATCATGGTTCCTGACCGCTGAGGTGACTGCTTTCGTTGAGTAGCCTCTTCGGCTTCAATCACCCCTAATTCGCTTTGCACCACCACCAACACAACCCGCGACCATGAAGGGCAAGAAGTTTCTCAGCCTGCGGGACAGGAATGGCGCCCATCGCAGGAGCAAGTCCTCAGAGCCAGGACAGAAGGTGAGTTTGCGACCCCTGGCGCTATGATCGTGTCTTCACATGCTGTTTTCGTCTGTCGAGAAGGACTGGAGGCTAATTACCTGTTCCCTCGCACTAGAGCCGACCGCTGTCAGCCGAAGCCTTCAGATCCCTTTTCAAGAGCAACACCGCCCAACTACCAACCGACGAGGAGCTGAAGGAGAAGGAGTCTCAAAAGGTACGCCAAGTCGCATTTTACCCACAGCACCTTGACCTAATTGCGACGACAGGTCGAAGATATCAAGAGCAAGCTTGCCGACAGCAACGTTACGGACGTCTCCGAAGAACATATCCGCGATTCTTTGCACAGCGAATACGCCAAGCAAGACGTCAACAAGACCGTCGAATTTATCAAAATGCAGTGCAAGGCAATGGCTGGCAAGATCACACACTACAACCCCCAGGTCGAGATGGTCGGTGCAGAGAACAGAGGCAACGTCACTTGCTACCTCGACTCTCTGCTGTTTGCAATGTTTGCCAAGCTGGACGCCTTCGAGTGCATGCTGAAGAACGACTTTACGGACGAGCCAAGACGCAGATTGGTCACACTACTGCGATTATGGGTGAACATGCTGAGGAGCGGAGAGATGATCCACGTAGACATGGTAAGCTGGTTCTGCGCCTGAACCCCCTTTACTGTTGCTAACCGTAGAAGACAAAACTCATTCAGGATGCTCTCGCCGACTGCGGCTGGAGCGACGCCAAGCTCCTCGAACAACAAGATACCTCCGAAGCCTTTGCTTTCATTACCGAAACGCTTCAGCTCCCCCTATTACAGCTACAAGTCGACTTGTTCCACCAGGGAAAGAACGACAAGGACGACCACAAACTAGTCTACGAACGTTTACTGAACCTGGCTGTGCCCCCCGATCCCGATGGAAAAGGCATTAGGTTGGAAGATTGTCTGGAGGAATACTTCAATACACAGGTGGATGTGCTCAGGGACAGCCACGAAGAGAAGAAAGAGCTGGCACAATCAACACCGAACAAGAACACAATTCGTCTGGTGACCCCAGAAGGTAGCACCGACTTTGAGGCAGCAGACGTCTTGAGTTCTTCTCCTCTGCAGCTGTCGCCAGCTCTCGAACGGCGCTGGACAGCTTCCCAGGCACCAAATGGCGTGCCAGAATCCCCCAGCGGTTCTTCGCGTCCCACCCCAAGACACCGCTCAACTAGTGTAATCCAGCGAGTCGTACTAGAAGAGAAGGAAAAGCCGGAATCCGACACGCCAAGCATGTTGGAGAAGGCGCGACGGACAAGCTCAACTGTGGTCAAGGCTGTGACTATCCCTGCCTGGCAGTTTTTCAGACTGATCCCCTGGCATGCCGCTGGAAACAAGGAGCCCAAGAACGACATGGAGGTGGCAATGAACTTCAGCCAACGGCCTGTCGTCGGAATTTGTCTGAAGCGGTACATGATGACCAACTCAGGGATACCACAGCGCCAAAATACCTTCATCGACATTCCAGACAGTCTGAGACTGCCTCACTTCATGCTTGCTGGCGAGACGCAGCTCGAAGAGGACCCTAATGGCTTCAGCATGGAGTATAAGCTAGTCCTCCAGTCGGTGGTCTGTCATCGGGGAGACTCGCTTTACAGCGGACACTACATTTCCTTCGCACGAGTAGCGCCGAAGCTTCTCACAGACAACAGACGGCACGACCTCGACCCTCCTCCTGATTATGAAGAAGCGCAATGGGTCAAGTTTGACGACTTGAATATCGAAAGCAGAGTCACCTATGTCGACGACATTAGACAAGCACTGAAGGACGAGATGCCTTATTTGCTGTTTTACCAGATCGTGCCAATGGTGGAAGTTGCCTCAACGGAGGAAACCGAGACGGAGCCGCCCTCTTACAATGAGTCCAAGGTCAGCATCAACTTGCCTGGAACGCCAAACCTGCAAGAGGGCATCAACTCGGGATTTCCTTCCTCCAAGAGCGACTATTTCGAGAACACCTCCATCTCACCACCGAAAGCACCAAGCATTCGATTCTCATCAGACCTTGAGAGGCCTAGTCGTCTGAGTCTTGATGATGAGCCGTATGGTCTGGGCTTCAAGGATTCTCGCCGCGGAAGTGTGACTTTCACTGACTCTACCTTGGGCACGCCGGCCATTACCCCTGAGGCCGTGTCGCCAGCAATCACACCAAACGGTGAGGAGACAACGGCGCAGCGCTTGTCCCGCGCTGCTGCACGTTTCACGGCGAAGAACAACAAGAGCAGACCAACAAGCCAAGCAGGCGAGGGGCGCATCAGTCTTACTATGACTCGACTTGGAGGGCTCATGCGGACAAGCAAGGAGCCTCTCCGGGAGCCCGCAAATGGCAACGCACTGGCAACGTCTGTTAGCGCCCCCTTGCCTGACCATGTTCCAGAAGAGCAGTTTATCGAGGATGTCGCCGCAGAACCAACGCCGATTGCGGAATCCGACAGGCAAGGCTCCAAGGAATCTAAGGACTCGAAAGATTACAAGGAGAGAAAGTCGGGCGAACACCATCACAAGCATCACCATAAGCGAGACAAGTCTAAGGAAAAGAGGAAGAACAAGGGTGGCGAACCCGAGCGGGAATGCGCGGTCATGTAGACGCACGATACGACAGAGCGAGCGACAGGCGGCCGCATGAGCGGTCAATGACTTTGGATGTCTTTTTTGGACTTAGGATCGATGCAGAGCATTCAGCCCTGAAAATAGCGAGGAGTTTCATAGGCTACAGATGGGAAGACAGAACGAGACACATGTGCGCATTGCGCAATGTGGGCTGAAGAAGGAGGCGTTGGTTGCGTTGTCAAAAACTTGGGATACCACGAACAAACATGAGGGACTCTGTAGGCCTCATGCACGGTCTGAGATGTTGGAAATAATGATACTCTGATGACTGGGTCGTCATTCATGAAGATTTATCTGCCTGACCTATACCTAATGGTGATGTGACTTGTAATACTAACCGTTTCCTTTCAGTGTCCTGTGCTAGACGAGAGTGAGACCGTGAGACGGTCCATCCACTGTAGTAGCAACAAAGCCGCTTCTCTCGATCAAACACCTCTCCTGCGCATAATGTAAATCCATCCAACTGATGATGCAATCTAGTCCTCGTCATTCTGCCGATCAGCAACCATCTCCGCCGCCGTGTTGATGACCTTCTCAGGGGGGCGCTCGACAACCTCGGTGGGGGGGGACGAGAGGCCCGGTACGGGCGACATGTTGCCGCTGGCGGGAAGGCTGCCGGGGACGGGGATGCGGATGTCCTCGGGCGAGGCAGGGGTGATCTTGGGGTCGATGCCGGGGATGTGGATGCGCTTGGCTTCGTTCTGGTAGGCAGCGGGGATGATTTCAATGATTTCATCACGGGGGAACTTAAGCGTGGGAATGTCCATTGTGGCGCAATGCATGAGGTAGGCGTAGAGCACGCGCAGGACGGATTCGTGGGCGATGATAAGGAGGTCGGACTGCTCGCGCTCAAGTTCGAGAATGATGGGCTCGAGGCGGACGGCGAGGTCGTGGTACGACTGGCGATTGTTAGTCTAAGTATCAGATGCATGTCCATGTGAGAGATTACCTCTGCGCGGGGGTATCTGTGGTGGTAAGGGTCCAACTCGTGCTTCTCAACTTCTTCGGGGTAGATGTGGCGGATCGCGCGCTCCGACATCTTCTCGCACACGCCAGGGTTGATCTGACTCATTTGCGAGCGCTGGCGGACTTTGAAACCCTTGTTCTTGAGATAGTCGGCCGTCTGTACGGTGCGACGGCGTGTGGAAGTCCAGACAGAGAGAGGTCGTAGGGGCACGGAGGGTCCACCCTTCTCAACGAGGGCGGCGTGTTCCTGCTCGCGGTGCTTGAGGAGGATCTCAGACATGCGGGCCGCATAGGCGATGCCTTCCTCGGAGAGGGAGGCGTCAGCTTTGTAGGAGTCCTCCTCGTTGGTGACACCGGCCCGAACGAAGTAGGTGGTGCGAGACTTTATGTGAAGATTTGTGAGGTAGAAGACGATGCGGTGGGAGAGGTAGTTAAAAGAGACGTTATTGTAGAAGAATTTGCGACCCGCATTGATCATTTTGATGTAGTTCAGTTCCTTCTCGTTCATGGTCTCGAAGACGGGTATCTTCATGTCGATGCGACGGAGGTAGAGTTTCGCTGCCTCATCGGGGTCCATACCAGCAAACTGAGGTGGTTAGCGACGCAGAGGAAAGACAAAGGCAGTACGCACATCGGGCGAAGATATTTTGACGTTACGCGCATTCTCGCGAAGAATGGACTCGTCGTCCACGAAGGACTCGATGAAGAGCGTCTATTTGCATTAGCAGGACTTCTTGACGCAAGACTTGTACAGCTTACCTGCACATCGTGCTTCGCGAGTTCCTTGGCCAAAGCACGACGACCAGCAGCAGTGGGGTTCACAGCGTCGTAGATGGCAACTTGGCCGTTCTCATGGTTCAACCAGGCGTAAATATCTTCGCGACACTTCTTCAGGATCTTCTGTCTGAGAATAACAGATTGAGGAGATGCGTCAGGGAAGAAGTAGTCCTCGGGAACAATACCACCCTTGCCGACGGTTGCGCGGCGATAGTCACCCAGATGGAAGATGCGCGTCTTCACGCCCAGCCTACAGGCTCCTTTAGCAAGAAGTACGAAAGGACCCGCCAAAGTAAACTTACCAGCCCAGGTAACGCGCCATAGAAACACAGATGTGGCTGCTTATGTTAGCTGAAGTTTCTTCCGATCAATGGATGCACTCACGTCTTTCCACGAGCTGGAAGGCCCACCATCACAATAGCGATACGGCCCGAGTGGAAAAGCCGGCCAGACATGGTGCTGTACAGTTGGGCCGGAGCCATATCCTGGTCCTCTGGAACATCATGGATACCGTCGATGAATGTTGAGCTCTTGCGACGGTATCTGGGCGCGTTGGCCGCGATCTCGGCGGTACTATCAGAATATGAAATGTCAATAACTTTTTCTTCAGCTGACTCCGGCACCGACCGTGAAAAGGGTTTGCAGCACCCCGAGGGATCAGTCAGCTTATGAGAGATAAGACCATGATATGAGGTGGTTTTCTTCGCTGTGAAGATGAAGTGCTTGGAAGATGTAGATAGAACACACAGGAGATGAAGATGCTGAGATGATTGTATGTGAAGGAGGCAGGTATCATGCTACTGGACTCAGAATCAGGTCCAAGAAGGAGGGGAGCAATGTAGACTGGTCACAACAGTAAATCTCTTGGCATCAGCTTCCCCGAAGTATGAGGAGAATGTCTTATTTACAAAAGACCCGTTGAAGGATGCCATAGATATTGCGGGGTGGTTCGGTCAATGAGCCTTTGTCTTGACGAACCGGGCAACACATTCGACCGCGACTGGTTGAGCATATGGGCTGTAGGATTTGGTATTGTTGTAATGGTTGTAATGAGAAACCTTTGACTTGTCCCATGCAAAAGCATGACTGTATTTGAAGTCTTCTTGATGAAGTCTTCGGGGAAAGCTCCTCAAGTTTGTATCTCAATGCTGAGACAGCACTTGCTGCTGTGAAGTGGGACAAGGAGAGGACAGGCTAGAGGGCGGGTTCTCCTAGGGCAAAACGAAAGAAAATGAAGGAGCTTACAGCAAAGTGTCCATGTTGACGGATCAGTTTTCCGGAGAATGTGTTGGTCACCTATGAGGGATGGCAAGCGAATTAAGGATTATGCCGAGGGACAAGAGGTGGGAGCGGGTTGGTCGAGAGGCATACACGGCACCGCCTTTGCGCCGGATGGAGGGGCCGCTACGGAGGGGAATAGCGGGGACGATGCAATGACGCAGTGCCGGGTCGCGACGTGGTTGGTACTGGCGATTTCTGGCCCTCAAGAAACCAAACCAGACCAGGAGTACGAAATGGGCGAGGTGAGGTCAAGGGCCGATCTCACAAGACAAAATCGCGCAGAAGTCGGTGTTTCGTGGACGGTGATGGCGGTCGCGGTGAAAGTGACGCTGCTGTCTGAGCTGCCCCCCGTTCCGAATTAAGCCGCCAGCCCTTGGACCGCCGAGGACCCTCCTTCGCCGAAATTCTGTGGTCTGTGCAGGCGGGTGCCCAACCGGGATTCGAAAAGACAGCGTTGGTGGTTGGTCTGCTTTGCTAGATATCTCAGGAGAGTTGCGATGGTTTGGTCTGAAGACTCAATTAATCACCTTTGCAGGTGAGGAAGGTTAGGTAAGTTGCAGGATGTCCTTGGACTACTAACACCTCTGGCGAAGAAAGAGGCCTTCTGGGCTGAATGCTTGGGAAAGGCCAAGGGAACGTACCGGATGCAGGCAAGGGTCTTCTCGGCGGCAGTCCCGACATCTGGGGCCGGTTAAGCTTCGGACCGATCGAGTGCCCTGTTGCACCTGACGTAACTAGCATCACGTGATGCTGATTCAATTGAAGGTGAGCTCTTTGGCAGGCCCCCACCGGGCTGTGGCGCTCAGCTCTTTGGTCCCGTTGAATCCAACGTGGCACCGTGGCTCGTGCTCGACCAGACCTCCAGCTGGTGCGTAATGTAATCCAGCGTGGAAGAAATTTATTCTCCAGTCTGCCAATCCAACACTCCCGCTTCCGAGTCGACGACTTCTCCAAATCGACCCTGCCTGCCCATTGCGCGAGCTTCAATCGGTCCCCCGGGCAGTCGCATCTGTATTTTCCCTCCCGATACAGAGACCCTTTGGTCACTTCTCCCTCCCTTTAAAGACTTTTCCCGTCTGTTTAATTCCCCGGTTTCGTTCGACGCAGGCCCGCGCCGACTCTCGCAACCATGGCCGCAAGCTTCCAACAAATTCAGAATGTTCTTCTGAACAACCCTGTCGCCCACACTCTTTCAGATGCCATCAACTCCTTCTCGGAAAGGAGAGCGAAGCTTGGCCTGTCCAACCCCGGCACCACCGAGAACCTGACGAAGGAGGTCCAGCGCGATGTCTTGCTCAGCAACTATATGTTCACCGGCCTCCGCGCCGACCTCACCAAGGCCTTCAGCATGTCGCCTCTGTTCCAAGTTTCTCACCAGTTTGCTATGGGCGACCGTCTGAACCCGTACACCTTTGCTGCGCTGTACGGAACGAGCAAGGTTGGTAAACCCCGCCATGTCAATTATGCGCGAAAACTGTTCGCTGACGTAGAGATAGGTCTTCCTGCAAGGAAACATGGACAACGACGGACAGCTTTCTACCCGATTTAACTACCGATGGTCTGATAAGCTGGTGTCGAGGGCCCAGTTCCAGGCTGCTCCCGGCGCCGGCCAGGAGATGCTTCAGTTCGAGAACGAATACACAGGCGACGACTTTACTGCCTCCCTCAAGATGCTCAACCCCTCCTTCCTCGAGGGCGGCATGACCGGTATCTTTATTGGAAGCTACCTTCAGTCTGTTACCCCCAAGCTTGCCCTCGGTCTCGAGACCGTCTGGCAGCGCCAAGCCATGACCCAGGGACCCGAAACCGCTACTTCCTACTGCGCTCGCTACAAGTCCGCCGACTGGATCGCCACCGCTCAGCTCCAGGCTCAGGGTGCTCTGAACACCTCTTACTGGAGACGTCTTTCCGACAAGGTTCAGGCCGGAGTTGATCTGTCTCTGTCTCTCGTCCCCGGTGCTGGAGGTGTCATGGGTGGATTCCAAAAGGAGGGTGTCACAACCATTGGCGCCAAGTACGACTTCAGAATGTCCACTTTCCGTGCCCAGGTCGACTCCAAGGGAAAGCTGAGCTGCTTGTTGGAGAAGCGCATTGCTGCCCCTGTCATGATGACTCTGGCCGCCGATGTTGACCACTTCGCGGTATGTAATGCGTATTTCTACTCACGAGCCTGTACTAACTCTCTCTCAGCAACAAGCGAAGATTGGTGTCGGTATCTCCATTGAGGCCGGTGGCGAGGAGCTTCAGGAGCAGCAGGAGGCTCTTGGTGCTCAGGGCACCCCCAACATCCCCTTCTAAACTCGATACGAGGCAGGCTGGGCGTTCGCCGAGCCTAACCCGAAGCTCCGCTCCTAATCGAACCCGATAATTGTTTGTCCTCTGGTGAGGACAGGAAACGACACCAACGAACTCGACTCCTCTTTGCAAGCTCTTTTTTTATACTGCTGTCTTAGTAAACGAATTCACGCCTCGACAGCACGGACTAGACGATTTGACGCTTCTCATGCCCCCCCGAAGCTCACCTTTCCGTCCACCCATCTCACTCTCGTTCGGTGACCCCCGATTCCTGTTCTCCACCGCCGAGGACCTGTGTATATTACGCTCAGGACGAGCAAAGAAATGATCAGCGTGGTGGGGTATGGGCTGGCTTGGATGCATTTGTTATGGGGAGGTCTGGAACGGCATACCCAACGCGGAGTGGCCGATGCCACTCCGATGAGAGCATCTACATGAGTGAAAGCATCCTGAATGGGCCCTCTTGATGAAAAGCTCTCGCATGTACTTTATATGAAGGAGATAGAATTCAGATGCTGATACAAGCCCTGTTGTACAATCACGAAGTCAAGAAGAAATTGTGTGCATAAGCTAGGCCGGGGCAAGTATCTGCAGGTCAAACAGAATACCATCGAGGCCGTGCCATGGTACGTAACCTTATGAGCATGCGAAGGTGCCGCTACTGATACTTGGTCAGATTGTTTTTTAACCACCCAGGGATCACGGTTGCCTGGAAACGCCTCGCAGGCGATGAAACGTTCCAAAAGGCAACTTATTAGATGCTCATTGCTCTGACTCACTTCTAACTGGGGACGCATGGCATGGTTCGACACAATCGAAGCAGTTGCAGTGGCGTCTCTGATACAGTCTCAGCAGTAATTCTGATTTTAAGGCATTTGCCATTCTACTCCTTATCAATTTGCTTGAACAGCGTCTTCACCTCCTCGTCACTCCACTCCTTCACACCCAGCATTGCGTTATCGCTCTTCTCCCATGGAGCGGCATAATTCTTCTTTGTGCAAGCATACGGAATCTGCGGAATCAAGACGTCAGGGGTCATGACGCCCTTCTTGATCTGCTCCATGCACTGCGCATAGACGGCGTCCATATCCGTCTTGATCTCCTCCCACTCCCCGCCAATCGCCTCCTTCGCGAGCTGCGCAAGCTGCTTTTGAGACTTGTTGATCGTATGCACATAGATGATGCGATTGGCCGAGTCGTCGGGGTTCGTCAGCGACCCGAGGACAGCTTTTCCGACGTCGGGGAGGTTCGTGTAGGGAACCACGTTGTCGCCGTCGTTGAAGTACGTGATCTTCTTCTTCTTGACGTCGAAGCCCATGAAAGTCGACCGGATGCCCCAGTCGAGGAACGGTCCATTGGCGATGATGGTCCACGTGAACTTGTCGCCCACCTCCTGCGCCTTGACCTCCATATACTTGCGCGTCAGCGCCTTGATGCCGAACACGGGCAGCTCCGGGACGTGGGCCTTGTTGGGGTCGATGCCGAAGTCGGGCGGGATGTAGCGGTACACGCCGGCGGCGACGGCGGCGTCTACCACGCGGGTCGCGGCCTTGGGGTCGAAGTTGCTCGTGCAGTTGACGAACGCGTCCTGGCCCTTGAGGGCGGCGGTGAGGGAGTCGAGGGACTCGTAGTCTACCTCTTTGACGGTGCAGCTGGAGGGGAACTCGTGAGAGCCGGCTTTGCGCGTGAGGATGGTGATGCTGAATTTGTTGGTGTCCATGAGAGCTTTGAGAACGTGGGGGCCCACGTTACCGGCAGCCTGGGCTTGTTAGTTGGTAGGAGGGTACTGGACAGGGAGGACTTACGCCGGCAATGGCGACGTTCTTGATTTCTGGTGCCATAGTGTTGTCACGTGTCGATTTACCGTTGAAGTGTGTTTAACTGGTGTTGATACTAACTGTTGGTATGAACAGCAGCGCAGAGCTCCTACTTATCTTCTTTCTCATTTTCATAGCAAGGATGATTGGCCGCGCTGAAGCAAGCTCCCGGAAGCAAACTGGAAGCATATGCCGCTGTGACAGGCTTCCGTTCCAGGCTCGTCTGAAGGTATCTTGGCCGTCACTCATTTGCTATCTCGCCAGAGCCTCAACAGCTTGGAGCTTCGCGGTTCGAAGCAAGAGCTTTGACCCTGTAGCAGCAAGATGACGCACGTACGCTTACATGTTCTCGAACATGCTCTAGTTCAGTCTTTCCATGTACCACACTGAGCTCGGTTTGTGGAGAAAGACCAGGCCAATGGAGATTGCGTACATCTCGACATCCGCAGTACAACACGATGGACAGCATTTGCTCGAGTTGCTAGGTTTGGCTCGTGTTACGGATGAATACGATAGCTAAGCCCTAAGGTTCCGCGTCTCGCTCACCAAGTGTCTCAATAAGGCAGTGTACTCATCGAGAAGTCATTGGCAGTATGGCTGCCTTGCATGACATAGCCTTCTGAAAGTTGGGATGATTGGAAGCTTCCGGGTCTGCCGGCCTAGCGAGGCCTTGCAGCTCGTTCGCCTGGACGGAAACTAAGTTGCGAGACAAAGCAACAAGATAGCATTATCACAAAGTCAAATCTGGATGACGAACAGGCGCGCGGGAGTCGGTTGAGATTCATCGTGCTCGACGTGATGGACGTGTCGGAGGTCCGTAGTACAAGGGTCGGCAGGGTCGTTTCGAGATGCGACATCCTTTCCATGAGAAGAGACGTAGCAAATGATGATCCTCCCATGTAGTGGTCTTCATGTTTGTCTCCCGGTGCAGTTCACTCATTATGATTGAAAATATACACAGCCAGTCGCTGCCAGCTGTGCAGTGCTGAGGTTGTTCTGTAGACGAGAACAAGTGGTCTGTGTGTAGAATTGATCAAACTTCCGAGACAAACATCTCACGATGTGTTGATGAGCACTTGAAAGCCATCGATGTCGCAAGTCGAGCTCTGGAACTACTGAAACTACAAAAAAGTACAAAAAAGTGTGCGAGAACCGGGACTCGAACCCGGAGCAGCGGCATGGGAAGCCGCTATGTTACCCCTACACCATTCTCGCTGTGACGAAAACACTTCAAGGCATCGTTTATGAATGCTGACACCGTGGCTGACTATGCCGAGCAGTGAGGCCTGCATCCCGCTGATGACAAGCCGCAAAGGTCCCATAATGAGGGTGGACGGAAACACCCGGCTTATGCAGAGGGGTTACTACTGCATGACTAAACTCAAAATGGTAGCAGGATTCGGCGGTTGTCATACCGCAGAAAGTGGTTCCGGAAACATACCTTACCTTTGTAGTTGCTTGGTTGTGAATTGACCTTTTGCTGAAACATGACAGATTCTTCGCTGATATGTCGCCTGGTTCATAAACACAGGTTAGATGAACCCGCTCCCAGAAACAGGTGTTCTGAAGAACAGAAAAGAAGAGCAGTGAGTTGGGCGAAATCGAAAGAATTTGTAGGAGAGAAAACTTTTGTCGAGTCGTTCTGGTGCGAGCTAGACTGCAAACTAATTACAGCACTGGTCGGTGCGCTGCAGCAAGCAAGACCCCTTGTCTTCAATGGATCTTCCCGGTAACGACACCTTATGTAAGGCGGCATAGTACACTCAACAACTGTTAGCTCGAGTTGAATCTTGAGGATGTCAATTCAACTTGCAAACTAAGCCTTGTTTATTTATGACCCTCGCTATCTCTATCGCTCCGTTGTTTCTAAAACAGAAGAGCATTTCCTTCAGAATTAAGTTGTGACTATAGAGACAGTATACTGACGGAGTACCACGTTTATAAACTTACAGTGGTTGTATGGTACCTTTGCTAGGGGGTGCTGATCAAAGGTGATGATTCCTGAATGCTTACTTACAACCAGCCAATGCCAGACTTCGTGAAGGTACTATGCTTTTGATAGGTAGACGAGTCAGTCAAATTCCTTATTCCGTCTACGGTATGTACGGCAATTCATCTCCTCTACTTGCCCGGAAACCGAATCTATGCTATCCTGTGGGGGAGCTGTTGCCTCGAGGTCCATTCAGCATCGGCTTTTCATCAACGAACCTCAAGCCCTTCCCTCCCACAGCTCATATCAAGTATCGGAACCCCTTCTGCCTCTGCGTCGCCGTACCAACATCAACACCCTCCACATGTGCCGTCTCCCCCAACCTCTGCATCTCCTTATCCCCCGCCACCACGTCCTCATTCTCAAGCCTGTCCAACCGCTTATTCTCACGCACCAGAATCCACCGCTGCCACACAGCACCAACCGCAGACACCCCCAGCAGCGCAATGACAATACCCAACGCAACAGGGTACCTATCCCCCTGCGCATCAAAATACGTGTACGAGGTCCAGATGGACGCTGCGTTCCCGACGGCGTTCATGAACCCCAGCGCCGCAGCGCGCTTCGCCGGCGGGCGGGGCACGCACGTCGACATCCAGGCGTACGTCGTGCCGTTCATGGTGAAGACGAAGTTGAGCAGGAACAGCGAGAAGTACCGCGGCCCAAAGGCCGTTGTCGTCATGAAGATGACGCAGCCCGCAATCACGATTGGGATAGGATCTAAACCATCGGCCGTTTGATCAGTAACTCAACTTCCCCAACGTGTAAAGACCTCGACGAAAAGCTGGCGCAACTTACACATGAAGAACCAGAACCGGTTCTGCACCCGATCCGACAACCACGAGTGGAAGGCACAGTAAAACGCCATAAAGACGTACGGCGGCGCCACAAGCAGCAGCGAGACGGTATCGTCAAAACCCAGCGTCCGGGTCAGACTGGGGAAGAAGTTCTGGAACCCGCCCGCGCCGACGAAGGCGTGGTACGCGACGGTGAGAATCCACACCTTGGGGTCCCTCAACGCCATCTTGAAACCCTCAAGCTGCGCCCGCGGCCCGCGGGTCTCGTCGACGTCCGACTCGGCCGCGTCGACCGCCAGCCGCTTGGTCGCCACGCGCCTCAGCTCCGGGGAGAGCGCGCGCCAGGACTCGGGGAAGTCGGGGAGAACGAGGCAGATGAGGATGCCTGTCGCGACGGTGACGACGCCCTCGAGGATGTAGAGCCAGCGCCAGGCGGAGATGCCGTGCGCCTTGTCGAGACCTCTGAGGATCCCCGCGGCGATGAGATTGCCAAAGGCACCGGCTATAAGGGAGCCGTTGTAGAAGAGAGCCATGCGGAGGGAAAGTTCTTTTTTGGTGTACCACTTTGAGAGGTAGAATATGACCTTGTGCCTGTGTGAGTAGGTGGCGTGAGGTGGGGAGCTGATGATACTAACCCCTGGGAAGAATGGTGCTTCTTTTCTCAATGTCAGCCGGTGTGAGCGAGGCGTGAGGGTTCGCACTAACCAACGAGACCCAGGACCAATCTGCAGGCGATGATGCCGGCGAAGTTTTGGACTAAGGCTGTGAGGGCTGAGACGAGGCCCCAAGCAATGGTAAAAAAGCCCAGGTAGTACGCCGGTTTTCCAATGTGGTTAAGCATCATGTTGGAAGGAACTTGGGCCAGGACCTAGAGACACAATTCCGTCATTATAAAGTCCGTGGGAAAGGGCCCGCACTTACATAGGTGATGAAGAGCACCGAAAGCCCAATCTGGTCTGTTACGACGTGTAAGCTGCATTAACAAAACGAGCTCATGGAAGCCCTTACACTGCGCGTCGGTGAGATTCAGATCCGCCTCCAGCCCTTGGAGACGAGCTGCGGCGTAGTTGTTCCTGCCAAAAGTCAGCTAACGCCCTAGAGTATATCGGGTCCACTGACCGGTCAATATAGTTCATCAGGTACGTCCACACAATAAGCGGCATGATCATGAGGTCGATCTTCCATCGGAGCTTCTTCTCAAGAGCAAGCTCGTCCTCCGTCAGACCGAACGAACTCATCTGTCCAGAGCTCTGACTCGCTTCCCTGTACGGCTCAGCCATATTGTCAACACGGGCTTTGGCTGAAATAGCATGCTCATCGGCATCCGCCGTGTTGGTTGGGAAAGCCATTCTAGTCACACTCTCTTGATCTTTCCGGGGACGAAGACTGAGATCAAGATCGTGCTTTGCAAGCAATGCGTGTGGGTGTACAACTTTAAAAGACTACCAACCCTGCCCAGGGCGTTCACGACGCAACGCGTACCCCCACGAGAATCTCTTGTCATACGTAGTATTATTGATACCAAGATCTGTTGTTGTTCTACGGACAACGTTCTCCGTCTCAGCTACAAGTACTCACCGCCGGAAAACTTCCTTGATCGTCCAAGTTGGCGCCGAGACTACCCCGCGTCCCCAATCCATTGCCAAGCCTGTCATTGGGGGGCTGAGCTGCGCGGTTTTCTACTCACTCGTGTTCAACACTTCACAACGCCATTCTACAAGTTACTGTGGTAATGAACAGGGACACCAACTCAAGCTCAGGCCAGCATTCGTGACGGACTCTATATTGCGTGTCGTCTGTCTAAAGGACGCCTCTCTCGACTAACGCCCATACCATAGTAAAAACAGGGGCATTTGACCGCTACATACGCGGAGCAATAAGCCCAATCAACTATTACAATGCCGTTACTGGAAAGTCTATGTTACAACATGCATCGCCCGTTCATGGCACATGCGCTTTGTTCGATCGTGAATCTGAAAATCGTGAATCCTATACAACGTCTTACTTCGCCATAACATCGACGTAACGGCCACCCTTCTTGGCCTTCTTGGCTCCGGGTTTACGTGGGCCAGCGGCACTGAGCAAGTCGTCAATGCTACTAGCATTACTCATGCTCGTCGCGGGCCGGCTTGGAGGACCACTGAGAGGGCCTCCAGCCGCACTTGTGTTCGACACCGAGCGCGTCATTGCAGGCGGACGAGGTCCCGGCGGGCCACCACCAAGACTCTCAATAGAGGGCGTCTTCGCAAGATCTGGAACTGGTGGACCACCGGGAGGCGCGCTTGCTCGGCCCATGGGCGGAGTCATAATACGAGGGGGAGGTGTTCCCATCATAGACCGAGGGCCGGCCTTCGGTGGCGGCGGTGTCGCCGTCTTGGCCTGCGCTTGGTCTGCGCCTGCAGCCTTGTTCACCCAGCGCTTCAGCTCGGGATCATACACAAAGTTGTTGGCTTCACCCAGCTTGGCTTTAATAGGCTTGTTGGGCTGCGCGGCATCAGGAATTGCTTCCTTCTTGCCGCCGAACCAGCTGCTGAAGCCCCATCCCTTCTTCTGCTGCTGCGCGGCTGCTGCTCGCTTGGCTGGATATAATGTCAGCAGAAACTCATTACCCTCAATACTATCCAACTTACCATCTTCTTCAGCTGCCTTCTTGAACATTTCCTTGTTCTCCTTATCCTTCTCCGCCTTGCTCTTCTCCTCGGATGTTGACCTAAGTGCCTTGAGACCAGGGATATCATCATCATCGTCATCCATGAAACTCTTTGGCTTTCGCTTGGGCTCCTCGGACTCTTCATCCGCCTCAGGCTCAGGGTTGTATGAGGGCGGTTCGTAGCCATACGGTTGGAACGATGGAGGCTGGTAACCATCCGAGCCAGTGCTATCTTGACCTTGCAACTGAGGCTCGTCGTTGGGGACCAGCGATGGGGGCTCGTATCCGTAAGAAGGTGGCTGGTAGCCGGAACCAGACAAGTCATTCGACTCCTGGGTGCCAGTTTGCGTCTCGACCTCCACCGAGGGGATCGTGGACGGCTGGCTAACACCATAAGGCTCATACGGCGAGTTAGCGGGCGGCTGCAGAGGGGAGACCGGTGCAGCTCCTGGCTGAGTCGGAGCAGAGGTCGGGGGCGTGTATCCGAGGGACGGGCCGGAGAGACTCTGCGGCATGTAGCCCCCGTTTGCGTTGCCGGGCTGCGAGTCCATAGAAGTTCGGGGCTCGTAGGGGCTGCGAGAAAGCTCATTGGAAGGGCGACCTGCCGAGGCGGGCGCAGGCATGTAGGAACCGGCTTCGTAGGGACTGCGCGAGAATTCGTTCGATGAACGGCCAACAGATGCCGGTGCGGGCATGTATCCGGCGTTCGGCTCATAGGGGCTACGGGACAGCTCATTTGACGAACGTCCAACCGAAGCAGGAGCAGGGCTGTATCCGGAGCCAGGCTCGTAAGAGCTGGACAGAGCGGGCGTTCCGGAAGTTGGCGCATATCGAGATGCTGCCCTCGTAGCGGGAATAGGGACTGCTGAAGGTGGGGACCCGACTTGGAAACCTGGAGTTGCACCTTGATACAGCGGTTCGAAGTTGGACACTGAGGGGGATCGGCTGATGGTCGGCGTGCCACCCGCAATCCGAGCAAACGGTCCGGATTCAGCACCCTCGGCGGAGCCACCGGCTGCGGCGTTTTCGTTCTCATCACCCGCGACAAACTTGTTGAAACGGCTCCAAACTGAGTCTGAGACCTTGTTCATACTGGGCTTAGAAATCCAAGATGAAGACTCTTCCTTAGGAGCCTGCTTAAGTCTCGCCCTCAGGTTCTCTACTGCGGTCTCCAAGATGGGGTGGTAGTAGGGAGATCTCTTTGTCTGAGCAGTGATCGACCCGGCAATGGCCTCGCAGTATTGCAGTGCCTTGTCTCGCAGACCATACTCGGCCAGCGTCATGGCGTGCTGCAATTTGTAGGCCGCCAAGTGTGGCACGCCAGCCGACAATGGTGAGGTGCCAGAGAGCGATAAACCAAACTCGTAGACCTCACTCAGCAGCAACGCCTCGGTCTCCTTGGCAAACTGGTCACCCTGAGTCTTATGATCGGCGCCAACAAGGACGAAGTTTGAGGTACCGTCATCCAGGCCTCCGAACATGGTTGCCTTCCTACCGAAGAGGAAGCAAATGTGCGCTGCCTCAGCGCGCCCGTATGATGACAGAAGATTGCCGAGAGCGTTCAATGCACGGACGTCGTCAGTACTCCTGTTGCTCAGAACCAATCCCAGGGTCTCTCGCCATTTGTCGAGCCCCTCCGTTGCGTCCTTGGCTGGGCCGGCGGCAGAAGTGGTATTCATCAATTGGAACCCAGCCCGGGCATGCACGGGAACGAGCTCGTCAACGCAGTCGTCGAAATTGCCAGACAGCACCTTATAAAGCGCCGCAATAGACTCGTTGTTGTGGCCGGGATAGTTGACCTCCTTGCGCACGAATTCCTGCGCAACCTGCTTATACAGGTCCGGGGAGACAGTGTTGGATATTAACATGGCGTGACCCCAGAGGCGCTTGTCAACTGCGGCCCACACGGCCTTCTCGCGCTCGCCGACCAGAAGGTGCTTGCGAATGTGATCCATCGTGGACGCGTCGACCGCATCCGCCTTCATCTGAGTGACAGACGATTCCTGGAGCGCTTCAGCGCTGACAACAGCACCGTAGCCGGGTGTGGGCTCGCCCTCCTCCACAGTGAGGCCGGGGGCAAGCACATCTCGTACGGCCTTGTCGACCGCCGGAGCACCTTCCAGAGTACCGTCGAATTCGACGAACACCCGTAGAATCTTCCAAAGCAACACCCTTTCGACCGCGCGCTTATGTTCGTGAGACAGCTGTGTTTGGAACGAGATGTCCGGCAACTCTCGCTCCAACGATTCAATGCCAGCTGTCAGCCAAGTAACTGTCTCCTTCTTCTTTGATTTGCCTTTGAGAGGGCCCGGAAACTTGGCCAATCTCTCCTCGAGAGGCTGAATATCCTTGATGTGCTTGACATGGACCTCTCCGGGGCTGCGGATGATCATTGGTGCCGTCTGGCCGATACCATACCGAGGCACATTCTTCGGGAAGGAGGTAACCATCGTTCCACCGACACCCCAAGAGATGATAGGAGCACCCTTCCATCTCTGCAAGGTATCAAGCTCACGACCATCCGTCGGCGCGACCATGTTCAAACTCTGTGAAGGTCCACGCGGACGGGTGACAGGCGCATGCGGTTGCGGGAACGGTCTGGTTGCCCTTGGAGACGTGGGGCTGTGGACGGAAGATGGACGCGCAACGGGTTGAGAGTTCGGCCTCCCATGAGAAGAGCCTGGGGATTGCGTGTGAGATCGTGGTGGCGGAACAAATCTGTTGTCCGGCGGCGACTCATGCGATCCGGCCTGGGGCATGTAGTTGGAGTTGGACCTCTTCGGGGGTGACAGAGCCGAATGCATCGGAGGTCCCTGCGAGGCGGGCGGCGGCGGCGTCTGTCTAGCTGCCGCGGGCGGTGCCGGGCTATACCTAGACTCAGGAGGAATGCCGCCTCCGGGTTGGCTCAAGTGGGAAGGTCTGGAGTCGTCCTCTTCTTCAACCTCACGGGTGACCGGGAGTGACGGAACCCTTGTGATTCTTGGTTCGAGGCTATAACTCGACCTGCGATCGGCCAGGTGGTCTCCATTGGTATTCGGAGCTTCACGCGAAACCTCAAAATGAGCCAAGGGACTTGACGTTCTAGGCAAGTGTGGCAGCACAGTAGGAGACGCTGAGTGGAAAGAAGGCACTGGTGGCCTAGCGCCAGTTGGCGCAGGAGAGTACCTGCTGGAAGACGATGGGCGACCATTGGCTGCGGGGACTGCCGGAGGTGCAGGAGAGTATCGAGCATTATTGGGAATGCTGGGAGCCTGTTGCGCTGGCTGTGGCGCGTAAGGGTTCGGGCGCTCTCCCAAGACGAGGTTCGGGATACCTCCAGAGGCAGAACGAGAAGACATGTCAGTGGTATCGGGCGATAGCATCGGCGGCGACAGCGGTGATGGTGCAAGCCGAGTCTGTGCTGGGGGTCCAAGGGGTGGAGGCGGAGCTGTTTGTGCTGGTGAAGAAACCCTCTGACTTTGCCTAGAGGCAGATCTAGGCTTTGAAGTCATTGGCAAATCTTCGAAAAAGCTGTCCTTGTTCCGCAGCACCGGCGCAGGCTTCCCACCCGCTGGAGGCTGGCCGGAATGACTTGAGGCTGGCGGAGAGACGCTGGAAGAAGCGGCTCTTCGGGGCGGAGGAGTGGACGCGTGCATGCTTGAGCTCCTGGGAGGGGGGCCCGGGGCCGGTCCCGTCGCAGGACTTCTCGGAGCTTGAGAAGTGCTCGCCCGTTTCTTAGGAACAACCACCTGCATGGGCAGATCATACGGCGATGTGTAGCCGCCCTTGGACTGGGCAGCAAAGCTTTGGGCTTTGGAAGGTTCGGGTCTCAGCTGCTGTTCTGCCGCATAAGGAGCGGCTGACTGGGTACGCTGGACGGCATAAGGTGCTGGGATGAATGGCGAGGCAGCCGCCTGAGGTTGATAAGCAGACAATGCCGGCTGTGCAGGAGCGTAAGGATTAGAGCTACTCCTTTGAAGAGCAGCGGCAGGTGTTTGAGGTGTGTAGCGTCCCTGGGTGCCAGATGTTTGCGCCTGGTTAGCGGCCGGAGCAGCAGGGGCAGCCTGCTGCTCGTCATCATCCTCGAGGAAGCCTTCGTCGTCGCTGCCGAAAAACGCCGAGGGGTCAACAGACTTGCTTTCGCCAGACGCGTCAAGCGTATCGTCGAGTAAGAAATCATCCTCTTCATCACCTGCGAAGGCTTGCTCCCATTTCGCGGCCAAGTCTTCCGTGGGCTTGGCTTCAGCATCTTCGGGCTGTGTAGTCTCGGTTTCTGTGGGCTCCGGTGCAGTACTGGTTGACGTCTCCGTCGGCTGGGTGGCCTGCCACGCTTCCTCATCCTCGTCCTCTTCCAACATGTCGTCCAACGTGTCTTTTCTGGAAAGCGTAGAGTCGTCCAGGGCACCCAGTACTTGCATGGTGGATTTGCGTTCAAGGGGTTGCTTGCCGCTAAAGTCGGGGAAATCGTCATCATTTGTGTCTTGAACCTTGCTGAAGAAGTCATCATCGGCGGCTTCGTCGTCGCCAAACTCTGTGAATGATTGCCCGGCCTGTGGCGCATCGCCATTTGTATCCACTTGAGAAATCAAAGGAACGCCCTCTTCGTATCGCGAGCCGAGACCCTCCTCTTCGGTAAAGGTTTCATCACGACCGACGTACTGCTGATTATCCTCGGTGTCATTCCCAAAACCTGAATCGAGTGCAGAAGCAGCATTGTATGTTTGCTCGTCGCCAGCCGCGTCATAATGGTCCGGTGTGTTCTCGATCTCGTGCATCAGATCCTCAGCTTGATTTGACGGTAAAGGGTGCTCCTCTCCAGGAGCGGAGGTGGAAGCTCCGACAGGCGGCACCGGCGGAAAAGAGTTTGTTCTGTCATTGGGCGGCATGAACTTGAACGGATCAGTGTCCCTTCGAGAAAGCGTCCATTCCTCGTGGTCGTCGTCCCAATTAACTTCGTGGGCAACCGTTCGGGTAAAGGAGTCGTTACTGGTGTGACCTAACGTGGGACCGGCGGGTTTGGCATCATCGGCGGGGACATCCTGTTGCGTCGCGGCCTCCTGGGTGACAGGGATCGGTCCGGGTTGCCAAGCTGAAGCTTCAGTTGGGACCTCCGTTGTAGCTGGAGCTTCTTCACCATTCTCCTTCGATTCGACTGGGAGAGTATCCGGTTGACCAAAGTTGGGCCAATCGTCAGATTCGTCCTGAGTAGCATCCGCGCCCAGCCAGGAAGTGCTTCCTCCCGCAGGCTTGTCCTCGAAAGAGAATGTTTGCTGTGATTCGTGGCTACGGTCGGTATCATCGGAGAGGTGTTTTTCGGCAGCAGCGGGCCGAGGTGATGTGTCGTGATTTGCGGTTGAGGGTGGTGCGGCATCAGCGGATACGTCGCCACTGGCAACATTTGGCATGAAAGCCGGATGCCACGAGGCGTTCGCGGTCTCGACAGTCATGATGGAGGTCTAATTAGATTCGAGTCATGCGAGTTTGCGATGCGGCGAGTTCAAAGGCTGGAGGAACAGCTATGTCGAGATTGTCAGCACTGGACATACCAGAAAGATGCGCGGCACGGCACCGGGGGTTTGGCGTCGCACGACGCGACAAGTGGGAGGGGATGGAAGGAATCGAGATAGAGGCATGAAAGAGAGGCCACGTACATGTACAAGAGAAACAGAAGTCTAGATAGAATACACAAGGACAAACTCCATGCTGAACTTGACGGTTTGGTAGGTAGGAGGAAGAATTAGGGCGTCAAGGTGTTTTGGTGGACGGACGAAAGTCTAATGGACGGACTGAAGGTGCAAGTGCAAGTGCAAGCTGGCAGGTACGATGAAGGTGCGGTGCTGCGCGGTACTTCCCCCATGTACCTTGCTGCTTCAGTGTCATCCTACAGCATCTGCGACCGCGGGTTGCTGCGACAGGGTCCCTAAAAATTTCGAGAGGAGTCTGTCAGTGCAGTCTGGAATGCGTCGTCCAGTCAGAAGCCCGGATTCCTGGCCGATTCCGTCATTCCGCGCCCGAATAGGGGCGGACCAGGTTTGGAGGTGGTGCACAGGCTGGGTTCCGTCGATGAGCTGCACTGCTTGCAACACGGGGCCGAAGATATTCCGGGTGCTTCCCCAATCTGGACCTAAAGTCTTATGTAAGACACCTCACCTTGATGTACCCAGGAACATGGGATGCCCGTGCCGTTGCCATGTTCAGTACCTACTTACGGTATGTATTCACTTGGCTGGACAATAATTGATGATAAGCATGCCCCGATAGAAACCAAAGTTTGAGTATCCCGCCACATAGTCAGCTGCGTACCAGTTGACTCCAAGTGTGACGTGCTGCAAGTTGCATCCTCTCGTAGAGAACAGCTTGCCTTTTATGCGGCAGTGTCCGTCCTACTTATTTATGTTAGCCAACCAAGACCTTCCAGATAAAATGCATATGCAGCTCAGCAGCGAGCCAACGGTGTCAGAACTAGTAGAATACACCCTTCAAAAAGAAAAGCAACGCCACGAGGACAGATCGCAGAACAATCTACAACAGCAAGTAACCACGTAACCTAGTAATATGAATCTTCCTTCATACACGGGTTCCTCGGAGCTGAGCTATCGGTGTCCGCGCGCGAGAAGCCTCCCGCTAATCGTCCTTGGCTCTAATGTAGGGCCCGGTGCAGCTCTTCCACCGCCACACTCAACACGTCCCGCCTGACGTTGCGCCTACCTGACTTAGGTACCTACCGCACAAGCACCCGACCCGTCCAGCCTGGGCACTCAAGGCCACGCGGCTGCCTCCATCACATAAAGTGGCCCGCCACAGCACCCCCTGGGATGCCGCATTACAGCCAGTGGCATTGACACACTGAATAGCACTCCCACCCAATTGGATTGGCTCAGCCTTTCCAGGCGACATCATCCAAGCCATCCGGCCTCTTAGCAAAGCTGGCGCCAATGGTTTACTTGTCCCAAACACCACGACTCAACAATCTACACATTCTACGCAAAATCTTCCCTGCGATCCAAACTGCATGATCTGGCCATCACTGCAGACCTGACACGACATAGATTGCTGCGCGCACGCGTTACCAGATACCGACCCGTCCGAAGCTATCCGATGCAGATCCCCAAGCAACAGTACACGCCCCCTCGACCGAACTTTATCACCACCTCCGCCTACGCGGAATTTTCCTAAAGAGTTGCCCACTGCATACACACTCTCCCAATGCGGGCGGGATGCCTTCTCCAACTTCGTACCGTTCCGCGGACCCGCCAAGCTCCCCAGCGAATGATTCCGATTCAGACCTCGATCTCGACATCCAGGAGCTCGATCCTGCGACTACGACTACCCACCGCAGCCCTGGACTCATCCGCAGCGACCGCCAGACCACTGAACATCGATCGCCACGTATAGCACTGCGAAACCTACGTATGGGGGGCTCACGTCGGGCCGGGCAGAAGGCCAGAGGGTATGGAGAGCTGGGCAAGAACCGCGACGACGACAGCGACGATGGAGAAGCCCTTTTGGGCGAATCCGAGGGCTCCTCATCACGATATAGGGATGGCAGAGGATCCGACGATGACGACTCGCCTCTCCTGCCGGGCGGATCGCCTGCGAGGCGCCGTTCGTTTGCTGGGGATAAGTTCGAACGTCTGAAGTCGGGTTTACGATTGCCCAGCTTCATGTCGAATTCAGGGGCGCAGGAGGCAAACAACAACGACGACGAAGACCAGGACGAGGACGACCCATCGACATCCCGCCTTGTCGCCGTAGGGTCGTCCCAGTCGACGAGATTTCCCCCGAACCTGATATCGAACGCCAAGTACACGGCCCTCTCGTTCCTGCCCGTCACTCTCTACAACGAATTCTCCTTCTTCTTCAACATGTACTTTCTGCTGGTAGCTCTGTCGCAAGCAATTCCAGCGTTGCGAATCGGCTACCTTTCGACTTATATTGCACCTTTGGCGTTTGTGTTGATGATCACCATGGGCAAGGAGGCATACGACGACATTGAGAGACGACGTAGAGATAACGAGGCGAACGCGGAGGAATACACCATTCTCACTTTTGACGAGCCCGGTCGTGTTATGGCTTCGCACCGATCCCACAAGAGACTCAAGTCGGATTCGATGAGGAGGGGCAAGAACTCGGTGAACAGCCGGGACAGACTGTCGGATATCCAGGAAGAGGAGGAGCGAGCAGAAGCAGATGGGGGCCTCCCTCCGCCGTCGTCATCTGTGCGCGAAGTCGTCCGAAAGTCTCGGGATCTCAAGGTCGGCGATGTTCTCAAACTCGGTAAAGGTCAGCGAGTCCCTGCCGATGTGGTCATTTTGAAATGCATCAGTGCGGAATCTACCACCGCGGCCCCTGTGATGGAGACCATTGCGGAGGAGGAATCCTTGTTGGTTGATACAGACGAAGAGCATTCGAAGGATTCGTCTGACGCAAAGGGCAAGGAAGCAGAGAAGAACGATGGGAGTGGCGGCAATGCGTCTGGCGAGACATTCATCAGAACTGATCAGCTCGACGGTGAAACGGATTGGAAGTTGCGGCTGGCATCACCTCTGTCCCAGTCGCTATCAACGGAAGAATTTGTTCGCCTCCGTGTCACCGGAGGCAAGCCCGACAAAAAGGTCAACGAATTTATAGGCACTGTCGAGCTCTTGTCTTCCAGAAGAGATGCTCAAAATCAACAAGGAGCGCTCGATGGGGATGAAGGAACTTCTGCACCTCTATCGATCGACAATACAGCCTGGGCAAACACGGTAATCGCCTCCAGTGGGACGACTCTGGCGGTCATCATGTACACTGGTCCTCAGACAAGGTCCGCCCTGTCTACAGCTCCCTCACGATCCAAGACTGGTCTCTTGGAGTACGAGATCAACTCTCTCACAAAGATTCTCTGTGCTCTGACCCTGGCCCTATCCGTTATTTTGGTCGCTCTGGAGGGTTTCTCGAATACCGAGGGCAACGTCTGGTACATCAAGATCATGCGGTTTTTGGTTCTTTTTTCGACCATCGTACCCATCAGTCTACGTGTCAACCTCGACATGGGCAAGAGTGCGTACTCTTGGTTCATCCAACGAGATCCGGGTATTCCTGGGGCTGTTGTCCGAACGAGTACGATTCCCGAAGACTTGGGCAGAATCGAGTACTTGCTCAGTGACAAGACGGGAACCTTGACTCAAAACGAAATGGAGATGAAGAAGATTCATGTCGGTACTGTTTCATACGCCAACGAAGCCATGGACGAAGTCAACTCCTATGTTAAGCAAGCTTTCCACATCCAACCTGCCACCGATCCTTCGACACGCACAGCTCTCGTCACGCCCTCCTCTCAGGTGTCCAGCTCGGTAAACGTCGGTGCTACTCGTACAAGAAGAGAAATTGGTTCCCGTGTGCGAGACGTTGTTCTTGCACTGGCTCTGTGTCACAACGTCATCCCGACTACAGAAGAGGAAGATGGCAAGACAGTCGTCTCGTATCAGGCGTCCTCCCCTGACGAGATTGCAATTGTTCGATGGACCGAGTCTGTTGGTCTTCGTCTGGCTTATCGTGACCGAAAGAGTATGGTTCTGGAGTCGACAGATACTGGCCGTGAAGTTGTGCGGGTGCGCATTCTGGACGTCTTCCCCTTTACATCTGAAGGGAAGCGCATGGGCATCATCGTTCAGTTCTACGAACAGGCTCAAGCCGCGCCTCCCAATCTGGCCGACAGCGAAATCTGGTTTTATCAAAAGGGTGCCGATACGGTCATGAGCGCTATCGTAGCCGAGAACGATTGGCTTGACGAGGAAACCGCCAACATGGCCCGTGAAGGTCTTCGCACGCTTGTCGTTGGACGCAAGCGCCTGTCTTATGAGCAGTACCAGGAGTTCTCCTCAAGCTTTCAGGCAGCTTCCTTGGCTATTACTGGACGCGACGCAGGCATGCAGCGAGTTGTTTCTCATCATTTGGAGCGCGGCCTGGAGCTTCTCGGCGTCACCGGTGTCGAGGATAAGCTGCAAAAGGACGTCAAGCCTTCGCTGGAGCTGCTGAGAAACGCCGGGATCAAGATCTGGATGTTGACAGGTGACAAGGTTGAAACCGCGCGTTGCGTTGCCGTCAGCTCCAAGCTGGTCGCTCGCGGGCAGTACATCTATACGGTCGCCAAGCTTAAGAAGAAGGACAACGCTCAAGACCACCTGGATTTCCTCCGCGGCAGGACAGATTCATGTCTTCTCATCGACGGCGAGAGTTTGGCCCTGTTCCTTACCCACTTCGGAATCGAGTTCGTTTCTGTCGCCGTCCAGCTTCCCACCGTGGTCGCTTGCCGTTGCTCGCCGACCCAAAAGGCCGAGGTAGCGAAGCTGATCAAGGAGTACACCAGGAAGCGAGTTTGCTGTATCGGAGATGGAGGCAACGATGTCTCCATGATTCAAGCGGCAGATGTCGGTGTCGGTATTGTGGGCAAGGAGGGTCGTCAGGCCAGTTTGGCTGCTGATTTCTCCATTGACCAGTTTTTCCACCTGACCAAGTTGCTGGTTTGGCACGGACGAAACAGCTACAAGAGGAGTGCTAAGCTCGCTCAGTTTGTTATTCACCGTGGTTTGATCATCGCTGTCTGCCAAACGATGTACAGCATCGCCATCAAGTTCGAGCCAGACGGTCTTTACAAGGTAAGTTTGTCGGGAGTCAACATCGGACATCTTCTGACATTTTGCAGGACTGGCTTCTCGTGGGATACGCCACATTGTACACCATGTTCCCTGTTCTGTCCCTCGTTCTGGACAAGGACGTCGACGAGGATCTCGCAAACCTGTACCCCGAACTGTACAAGGAACTTACATCCGGACGATCCCTCTCTTACCGCACTTTCTTCGTCTGGGTTCTCGTGTCCATCTACCAAGGTTGCACCATCCAAGGCCTGTCACAGATTCTCACCTCCGTCGATGGCCCCAGGATGGTGGCCGTGTCGTACACCGTTCTGGTGCTCAACGAACTCATCATGGTTGCCATTGAGATCACTACGTGGCATCCTCTCATGATCCTCTCCATCGTCGGCACGTTCCTGATCTACGTCGGGTCCGTGCCGTTCCTCGGCGGGTACTTTGACCTCCAATTCATCATCACCTTGTAAGTTGTCCGTGCCGTCTGTGTTTGGCCACATGCTGACAGGGCCCAGGGGATTTATCTGGCGTGTCCTCGCCATTGGGGCGATATCTCTCATCCCTCCCTACGCGGTCAAGCTGATTAGGAGGACGATGAAGCCGCCCTCATATAGAAAGGTGCAGAGCACGTAGAAAGCATGAGCGTCGGCGAAGGCTTTTTTTTCTTTGTATCATAGGAACACTTTCGGCGTTTGGAACGGGACACGAGCCGCGGCCAGAAAGGGGGGCTGCGTTTGCATCAATTAACGGAGTTGAAGGCTGGGGAGATTTATACTCTTCAGTTTGTACAGCATTTTCTTTCGGTTTGGATGGATCACCGGCCCAGAAACTAGACAGCGTTACTGAATATCCCATTCCAGGGGCCCTGAATTTCTCTGGTCTAGACTATGATACATGTGCTCGCTTGAATCTTACAATGCCGCCTTGATATCACAGCTTCAGGACAATCCACTCCTTCAACAAGTCTGGGTTGCCCTTCTGCATCGCACCCAGCAGTCCGCCCACAGGACCTTGCAACTGTCCTCCGTCGCGCCAGATCTTCGGCCCCGCGTACGCCTGCACAAAACCCTCTGGGCCAGAGATGACAAAGACGTTCTTGCCGATCGCGGCTCCCTCCTTGGGGACGCAGGCGCAGTCCTCGTCCTTGGACAGGAACCTCTTCCCGGCATTCGGCGCGCCGTCAACCATGCCCAGATGCGCAGTCTGCGAATGGAACTTGCATCCCTCCGTCGAGACCGGTGGAGGACCCTCGCGCTTCTTGGACCCTGCTTGAGCCAAAGCTGCAGAGAGGTCCAGCTCCCCCACACGCGTCCCTTCTTGGTCAACCACGACCCTCACATCAAGCTTATCGCCGTACCTCTCCTTCAACGCGAGTAACTCTCTGCTCACGGCAGACGCATCGCCGACCTCAGCAGAAAGGGCCTCGGCCTGGATCCCTCCCGCCCTCTTCCCCCCAGAAAAGGGATTCCATCCCCAAGACGACGAGGCCTTCGATCCCTTCTGCTTCGCCGGCGCCGCGCCCTGCACCTCTTCACGACCCCTCACGGCCCAGAAAATAGTCACATCCACCCCGCGCGGCAGGACAGCATGCGCAGCCTGCAACGCGCTCGCCACCCCCGTCCCGCCCGCCAGAAACACCACCCGGCCGCCGGCCTCGCCCAGCCGGCTGCGCAGGTCAAACTCCCCGTGCGGCCCGCGGATCTCGACCGAGTCGCCGGGGAGCAGCCGGGACAGGTACGTCGAGACCTCGCCGCCGTGCAGCGCCCGCACGTACAGCCTCAGCGCGTCGTCGCCGGCTGCGCCCGGGAGCGGGGTGTACTCGCGCGCGACCTGGATCTGGGGCTGCTTCACCTCGACGCACCACAGGTCGAAGACGTCCCACAGCGATGAGAGCGGCGCTGGCCCGGTGTGTGGCGGTTTGAGGGTCAGGATGAAGGATGTCGGGGACACGGGGTCTTTGGAGGTGACGGTGAAAGGGACGAATTTACGGCCGTTGGCGAGGATGGTTGCCTTGGACGAGTCGGAGGAGGGCGCGGAGGCGGGGAAGAGCCATTGGGAGTCCCATGCGACGCCGGCGACGGCGAGGGCGAGGAGGAGGGGGATAGTGCGCGGGGTAAGGAGGCGTTTGCGGGTTGTTGTGGATTTGAGGCGGCGGGTGGGTGGGAGTGTGCGTTCAGGTGTCACGGGCGTTGGTCGGGGTTTTTGAGTGTGAAGGTGATGTAAAAGGCGTTGGGTATGGCATGATGAGATGAGTGTCGTCGGTTTTTGGCGTGTTATTGAAGTGAGGGAGTGAGTGTGACACGACCGGGTGAAGCCCGACCGGGCGGCGGCGCTGGCGACAAAAGCCATCATCCGCCTTCTATGAATATTTCGCAGCTTAAGATGACGGACCGATAGTCCTCTGGGATATGATAGCGTTTTGGGCTTGTTGGCGAGGTTGGCGATGGTGACATACACGACTTGAAAAGTCGAGGTTGAGCGGACCCGCCAATCAAGTGAGAGCAAAGGACGGGTCACGTGAGCGCCACAACGACGACGAGTATCTCACTCTACGCGTCTTAATGAATCATTGTTAAGATACATTTTCTGATGCCTACCTTTGGAATGCACGGTCATTGTGCTTTAGGGGCGGTCCAAAGTACTAAGCTGTCGAGTGTAGTTGAATGTCAATGCCGATGCCCCTTTTCCTTGACACAGCCGTTCAGGTCTAAGTCTAGTCCACGCTCGCTAGAGTGGTGGTTTCCTCTATAATACAATACAATCTTACACTGCCCTCGCCGCCTTCATATCCTCAGAATCTTCCTGTTCTGATCGATGCCGCCCCGGAACATATCGGCGACAACCCTTCCTCCGAGAACCGTCTCCCTCACGATCCCCTCGACATGCTTCGGCTCAACACGCCCATACCAAATGCCCATCCCGGCGAGCGGGTGCTTCTCCCCACCCTCCATCTTCATCTTCGGCGGTATATAAACAATAATGTTCCCCGCAAACTTGTGTCCTCCAATGTGGCTAATCAGCCCAACCCTCGCCGATAACCTCTTATCCTCTCCCTCCGGCGGCGCCGCAATCCTCTCCGTCTCACCCTCATACACCTCAACAGGGCCCCTAGCAACACCGACTCCCAGCCCCTCAAGCTGCCTCTCAAACTCGTCCCTAAGCGCCGGGCCCATCACGCCGCACCGCATGTCGCGCCCGCCGTGCCCGCACACCAGCACCAGCACGTCCTCGACGTCGCGCACGCCGTACAGCAGCGACCGGTACGCCTCCTTGCGCGTGAGCCGGTCGCGGTGGATCGGCGACAGGCCGTCGTGCATCTTGTGCAGCTTCTCCGGCAGCAGGTAGCCCTTGGCGAGCGCCTGCACGCTGTCGAAGCTCACGCGCGGCAGGAAGGGCACGTACTTGAAGCTGGGAAGGAGGTACGCGCTCGTCGTCTGCAGCTCGCTCCGCTTCGGCACGGAGGAGGGGAAGGAGGCGTTGAGGACGGAGATGTTGTGCCACGGCTGTGGTTTCGTCAGTCTTTTCTCACTTATGGAAACTCTCAATCATATCGCTGTCTCATCTCATTGGGGGGGGAGAAAAGAAGCCAAAAACCCACATCGCTGTACGTCCCACCGCGCCCAAACAGCTCCTTCAGGTCCGCAGCCAGGTTGTCCCCGCTGTTCTCCTCCTCGATCCTCGAAACCCAGTCGTCCTTGCCCGTGCAGACGAGCACCTGCTCCGCGTACGCCGACACGACGCCGTTCAGCGGGCTCTTGAAGTCGATCGGCAGGCCCTCGGGCATCGCCGGCGTCTCGGCGCATCCGCACGTCGGCGACGGACACGTCGGGACCGTCTCGAATGGAGGCGGAGGCGGCGGGGGTCTCGCGGTTGACGAGGACTTGGCCGCGTACGCCCGCCGGAACGAATGTGGCAGGTGTGTAGTGGGCTGCCGCCGCGCCAGGCGCGAGACTACTCTCGCCGGTAACATCATCCACCGAGGCCGGAATATTGGGACTCGGCTCCTCGCAATTGATTTTTCTTTGAGGTAGTCAAGGTGGTTCTATCAAACACGGCAGCGGCGATGGACGGAAGTCACCAGGGGCCGTCCGGCACGGAAGACAAGACACAGCAGCCTATGACGTTCGGGGCTCGGTGCGGAGCCCGGCGCCGAGCTGGTGGGTTCCAGGTCGCGCGCGCAAGGTCATGTTAGGTAATCCCTCGCACCTAACTGGCGCCAAACACCCGCCCTGGCCAGGTTCACTGCTAGGTGGGAACATTAACCCACGACCGGCAACACTCCCCCGAGCAAATCGGCACTTGTCCATACCTATTTGCACGTGAACGCCCTTTTCTCCGAATTCCGTCCCATCTCCCACACCCGTCAGCGGCTTGTCAAGGGTCTGGGTAGGGGCAGCGCCGCCATGCGCCTTATCATCCCAACCGGGCGACTCGGAGCCGACTGAGGACGGCTTCGGACTTTGCTTCCCAAAACCAACCATGAACACCGCTCCTGTGGAAGAGGAAGCAAGGGAAAGGGGGGGCCGCAAATCCCAGTCGCAGACAGATTTAAAGATTAATCAACAACCTGGGGGGGATCGGACGGATGACCGGCCGGCCCCGAGTGGTGGTGGTAGTGGTGGTGCATTGTGGTCGTCCTGTCCGTCAACCTCAGCTCTGTTGTCCCAAACCCCCTGAATTCCAAAGGAGCCTCACGAACTCCATTCCTCGTTGCAGCGCGCAATTCCCCGTCACCGAAACAGGCCCCCCTCCCCCCCGTCGCTCATACATAACCCAAAAAGCGGGTTACACTTTACGGCCCCAAGGCAGGCGCAAATCATCAACGGAGCAAAAAAGCGAAGTAAGTCAGACATTCGCGCGCGCGAGTAAGCAAAATGAAAAAACGACGACCCGTTCGCCACGGCCCGGACCACGGCACCGCAGCGTCGTAAAGTCTTGGCTTCCATTGGGCCGATCGCACTTTCGAACCTTGACCGAGATATGTGTCTCGACTTTCGTGATTTTATTCCCGTAGCATGCCACCACAGCACAACCCGTTGCGAGACATCAGATCATGATTAGATCGGATAACGGGCCTTTGTGCGCGCTAGTTGGACTACTCGCTACCTTACCTTTCCAGCTTTCCACAAAACTAGGCTGAACCTGTTTAGCACCCACGGCGCTGTCACGAAAAGAGTAAATGCTCAATGGTATGGGGGCCGCTGGCTTTGATTTACATGACTAGCCATACGCGCGAAAAGAGAGGGGTGAGGACGGACGGTTGAGGCATGGGGGGATGGGGGCAGGCAAGGCAAGCACATCATATCAAATTCATAAAAAGACATACACAAATCTTGCGGCTCTTTTCCCCCCTCCCAATTGCGGCCCCCCTCTCCCCTTTCGGAGGAGGGGCGGGATATCACGGCCGGTATTAACAGCCCACCCACACCGGCCAAAGGAAAAAGAAAGCATAGAGTGAGAGGGAAAAAGAAAAGAAGGAACCCACCATTCCACACACTGCAAGTTACCCCCCTTCCTAAGGTCATTCCCGCCGCTACCGATGACAAGGGCTCTCCGTCTGAACCTTGAGGGGTGCGTTGGACGGGCGTGTCCGTCATTGGGCAGAAGAACGAAGAAAAAAACATGAAGAGAAAAGACTGGACTGGACCGGCAAACACAAACAACAAACGCAGACTAACAAAAAGTCCCTTCTCTCCCCCTCCCCCCCCAGCCCACCCAGAGAATTTACCGAGACAACATTGCATCCCGTATCTGTTTTCGTGCAGCACCGCGAGATTGCAAAAAAGCTCCCCCCTCCCCTCCCCCACCGACGAGAAAAAAACTCCACGACCGGTGTGCGCTGGTGACTGGTCCGCCACAGCGGTCCGACGAGCCGAGGGGTGAGGTGAGCACCGTATGTGGTGGCATGTATGTAGGTAGACTCACGCTAGAATCTGACTGCAGTTGGTTCGTCTCATCCAACGAGGAACCTCCAGCACTCATCCTTGATACTATGGAAGTGAAAATACAGGGCTCCATGGCCCCTGTTGGTCCTACCAACAAACGTTGCCGCAGATGTGGCAACATGCCCGGCCGAAAGAAAGAAGAGAAGCATGTTCCGGTTCCTACGGGATGCGCAGTCTGGCAGGGCTATCCGTACCGGCGTCAATTAAACGCACCGTTGAGAAACCGAGCCGAAGGGGGGAGGGGGGCAGGCTGCCGTCGTATGCCGCATCCCGCATGCCAATCATGCGGCCAACCTGAGACATGCAGACCGATCCCTCCATTCTGCAATATCACGGCCACAAGGGATGATGGATGATGCGGCGGAAAGATCTGCTTATTTTTCCCTCATTTTATTTGGATTTTGGTGGCGTGAGTTACATCACATCGCGCCCTATGCTATGATTCTTCGTCTCTCTCTCATCTCGTGTTGCCTGGTTTAGCTCCTCTTGGGGCTGTCTCTATCTACGAATGCAGTAGGTGACAATTGCCCGTTTCTCACCCTCTCCTCTGCCTCTTGCTGTCTCTCCCCAACCCTTGATTGGCCGGCCTGTTCATCCGTCTTTTCTCATGTACAGGGTATAATGATACATAGACAAGAGTCTAGCGAAGCAAAACTGAATATGAACAAAATTCTGGGCGCAACACCACATGACTGCTTCGTGATAATCTCAGCGTGCAGGCCATATATGAGCGTTTAAGGCCGTCAGTACAAAAAAAGCAAGTAAAAAATCCACGTGTCCCCAGACGCCGTAAATGCAATGCATGTAGAAAAAGAAAGAAACGAGTCTGGTGCCGACGTGGCTAGCTGCTTCAGCTTCGAATGTATACGAGATCCATCCTTCGAGGAAATGTTGTGTCCATTGGATCGTCCATCTGCCAGCACCTCCCCGCAGGCAGCTTGCTATCCTTGCTCTCGTCGTGATCAAACACCCTGCTACCGGCGAGGGGCGCGTCGCTGGGCTGACGATCCCGCAGAGCACGTAGTGCATCGAGCCTCTGTTCCATGACCGATTGATGTGCCCGAGCCTCTTCCCATACCATTCCCGCAGCATCGACAATCGCCCCTGCGACCGCGAGCCGATCCAGAAGGACCGAGACATCCGCCAAGGACCCCTCCGCCGTGAGGACGTCAGTAGCCTCGAGGATGACGTAGCTCATGAAAGGAGGCGGCGCACTGATGGGAGCTCGGCGGCCCTGGAGCAGCACTTCCAACATGCCCGTGATGTCCAGAACCCGCGTTGCTTCCTCATGGATGCGCGTTCCGTATTGTAGCCGTACCGAGGCAGCGATCGGCTCTGTCCGGACGTGTCGATGGATCTTCATGAGCCCGTGGAGATATACCAGGTGGATCGTGAGGAATGTGCTGAGAGTGCCATCTTGTGTAGCCAGGGCCATATTGCCCGAACTGTAAGTGAAGCACTCGGGCAGGGACTCGCGCCATCCGATCAACTTCTCCATCACGGTGTCAATAAAGCCCGCGGCGTCATAGTCTGTTTCTTGGCTTTGGGCAGCCCTGTAGAGTTCAGACATAGCCTCACCCCAGATGGCCACAAGCTGTACCAGGAAGGCCAAGATACCCAATGGCCGAATGACGGCTTTGGATGACATAGCCATCGCTGCTGGGAAAAAGGAAGCGTCGGATTTTGCCTGACGTTCGAACAATTCGTTTTCGCATGGGAGTCGGATAAAGATGTCTTTGACGTTCAGAATGCTCAGCCGATTGGGAAACACGCCGCTGAGTCGTTCCAGTACGAAGCATGCCCAGTAAGTTCGTCTTCGGCTCTCTGAATATCCATCTTTTTGCAAACCATAAGGGAAGTCTGTCAGGTCCGCTTCGTTCGACTTTTCAAGTTCGAGGTTTAGCTGCAGATCGATCGATGCTGATATGGCTCCACTGATCAACTCGTTCGCGTCGTTCAGCCTAGAGAGTGACAGGTAGTACAGCGCGAGAAGCAGACGAGCCTGCGCGAGCTGAAGGCTGCAAGCAGCTCGGTGCTGCGCGTAGTGGGCGATCTGGGCGTATTCGTTGGCGATGTTCTTGGGTCCTCCTGACAAGGCTACGCCGACGGCGAGGATGCTATAGATGAGCATCAGGTCTCCTGGAGACTTGATATAAGCATTACCGGTCACCCAGGATTTGAACGCTGTCTCGGGCAAAAAACGAAGGGCCATGGTGCTGTCGGTGTGTACGAAAAAAGAGGAGATTAAGGTGCTAATTGATTCAGGGTCGGACACATACGGATCTGATTGCCATGCTCGGTTGAGCAGGTGGTCTTGGATGGGAGGAAGCTCATAAGGCTGGCGATGCTGCCAGGAGAGGCTCGCCCTGGGCGCCTCGGGGGTGCGATTCAGCGACGGCGGCTCGCTTGCCATGGACGGGTATGAATCAAAGTCCAACCTCATCCTCTTGTGAGACATTGGAGGCTCCGGACTGGGCTGGCGCAAGGTCGTCCGGGGAGAGACCGAGGCGCTGGAGTTGCTACCAGGCCGGTGCATTTCACTGGCAGAACCTCCCATTCGCCGGACATCTTCTGGCTCGGCCGCAGCTGTCGATGGAGACGTGTTGTGGCCACCTCGAGGTCTGATATACTTCCAATTAGCAAAGCACGCAGAGAAACGGACCGCCCGCTTGAGGCGACTCGGCGATTCACCACTTACGCGTTCTTGAACTTGCAAACCCGGCCAAACTTCTCGCACTGGACGCACCGAGGGAAGTCGGGATCGCACTTGATCTTCTTCTCTCTGCACGTAACACACGCAATCGCGAGCCTCTTCCTTGGCTTCCCTGCCTTTGTTACGCCCCAGTGTGCGTTGACTTGCTCGCCGTCGATGATGGTCTTGCAGTGGCTCCCGTCGTCGTAGAAGAAACACAAGCCTTCACCTGGAACTTCGGCAGCCCGCACAAAGCGCGGCAAGAAGTGTGTTCCGGTCCAAATCTTGGGCCCAAGACCATCCTTCGATGGGATTCCGTCTGAGTTCGTGGCACTTGTAAGGGGTTGTGACTGCATCGGGCCGGATCCCGACGAAGTTCGTTGGTCTCGGTAAGAAGACCCAGAGTCCTTGGATGGAGGGTACTGGTACGACGGTCTGTCGTAGGGACCCGGAAGCTGTGGCTGAGATGCTTCTCTTGACACCAAAGAGTACTCGTGCCTGCCTGTTTCGTGGTGTATCGACCACCTGCCTCCCAACCCAACGTCGCTTCTGGAATCCTGACGCATGTGCTCCGTCTCACGGTAACGAGGTGACCCCGGCCCCGAGATAGATTGAGACAAGCCTCGTAGCGCCTGCCGGTCATGATCGTATCTGTTGTCATAAGTGCTCCTCGGCTGAGAAATAGCCGGAGAAGACTGCGGTGGGAAGTAGGAACCCCCGTACGGACGATCGCCATGAGATGGAGGGAGACGCGGCCGATCCAGAGGAGATGTAGCTGGATACCCGGTAGGCCTGTCAGACAACGGAGAGTGCAACGGCCCGGCCGCAGGCCCGAGGATGCTGCTCAGTGGGGGGAGTGACAGGCGAGGACCGCTTTGTGATGAATCTCTGCGGCTCGAGAGCTCTGCCATGCTCTTGTTTGCCATGTCGGCGGCCGGGCTTTGTTCATAGTTCGACATTGGAGGAGATACTGGTCCGAATTTGGCGTTCCAAAGCTTCTCTGCAGGAGGAGACGGTCTGGAGGAGTAAGATGATGAAGATGGGCTAACCAGCCCGGGAGGAGAATCTGGGGCGGCCAAACGGGGGTGGGGTTCCAGAGTTAAAATACCCATTGAAAATGCGAGTTGACGTTGTAGCCGTTGAGCATTTCCGGCTTGGAACCTCTTACGATCGTCGTCGTTCCCAAGGTCGTCAAGGTTTGGACCGTTGACCGGCAGGATAGTATGTGGACGAAAGCTTGAGAAGTTGGTCGAAAGACTCAGCTGTTCAGCAGATCTGGGCTGCAGACGGCTTTGATATTAAAGTTCGTAGGCCACGGCCGGGGGGTGAGTTGAGAGAGGGCGACTTCGGAACCCGCCAGTTCGATCAGCGAGGTGTGAACGAGAGAACGGACTGTCGTTATACTTGATGCTTGCTTCGTTATGGCGGACTGTTCTGTTACTCGTTTCCTTCCCTTCTTTCCTGGCTATGCCAACAAACAGAGACAGGAAGAGTGGAACGAAGAAAGAGAGAGAGAGTTTGAGGTGTGAGAGAGAAGGGTACGATGGAGACGGGTGGCTTTTGAGACTCGGGAAGAGCAAGGTAGCTAGGCAGGGCATGCGCGGAGAGCGCCTCCAAGTATGGATCGCATATCCTATCCACATCATAAGTATACTTGGCCATAGGGTAGTTGGCCTGCTACCCCCGTTAGGCCACACTCAGGGTAGCGAGCTGCGAGAGAGATACACCGAGGGGCCAAAAGGAGACACTAAGGATGAGGACCAACAGACTGGATTGGCTTGGCTCGTTAGATTGGGGAAGGGAGCCGGAAGGGGCACCCATAGAGTGCTGCAAGTGTATACGACGGGTAGGAAGTACCGTTCGTTCTAGGCGCACACACGTGCGGTGCATCTTCCATGGCCCTCGACTGCGTCTCCGCCGTCTCGCCTGCTTGGTTAGGATGAGGGGGTGAGGAGGCAGCTAGTCCGACCTAGCGCCTCATCGGCACCGACGGCATGGCGTGTACCAGTGGCCTTGTCGACGGTTGCGAAGGGGGGGAAGAGACGAGTTACCGCGTACCTCCTCTACGTATTTCGGAGGCACAATTCGCATTCCCTCGAGGCATTAGTCTGACGGATAGGGCCTCTGGCCAGCGTCGCAGTGTAATAAGGCACAGCGATGGTAAAATGGGGCAGCTGGGTCTAGTTATGCTCGATGAGGGAATCCTGGTTGCATGCTGACAGGGGTCCAATAGAGTAACGGGGATTAGATGCAGCAGAGGGGTGGCATGGGGAGCGAACAAGAGAAGCCGCGAAGGGAGGAGCTCCCGATACATAGTAGACGCCCTGAGAGGGCTGGTCAGGGATGGCATGGAGCTGGTAGGGGGGTTCATTGAGCTGGGGCACCCTTGAACTTTTGGGGACGGGAAGGATAAGACGGGGAGGCTGCGAGAGGCGAAAACGTGTGAGGCATGGTCCAGGTTCTGAAAAAGGCCAATATTTGGTGTTGACGTTGCAAAGGGGAACGAGATGACGGCATCGATCCTTTGTGCTGAAGAGGTCGGATGAGAGATGAGATGGTTTTTGAGGTAAAGGGATGATGCTGGTTGGCGCTGCGTTTGCTGTTGCAGCTCTTCGACTTGGACGTTGCTGACCTATCTCAATACCTGGGAACAATCCAGAGCCCACGTGCCAAGCCCAGGGCTCATCGAGAACACGAGGAAGAGAGAGAGTCCCGGCAGCGATGAGGGTACGCTTCGTGCCATTTCTCGTTGTTTTTGCTGTTGGAGCTCGAAGGATGCATGATGAGGGTCAGAAATCCCTTGCTGTGATCCACAGAGAGTGAGCCCAGATGGCGAATTGGACGTAACGAGATAGGCTCGGAGTGCCGGGCGAGAAAAGGAAATAACGAGAACGGTTCGCCGGTTGTTGGTTCATTCCAAGAGAGGTTGTGGATCTCGGCGCGGGGTTGCGCGCTGGACATCCCGTCACGCCAATCTCAGAGTGACATGGGAGGTACTCCCTCCACCATACAATGGCTGCCCGTACCAGTGTTGTCGCTGAGTGTGGCTGCTGCATGTAGGAGTATCCCGGCGAAGAACTTTCAGATGGAGACCCCGCGGCCAGAGTTTGAGCTTCGACAAGGGACTCGTCGTCTCCGAATCGTTCGTCGAATCGTATCGTTTCCTTTAAACGAGAGTGGTCAGTGATGTCGACAAACAACGAAGCAATGTCAGAGAAGAGGTACTCGGGCGTTTGGCGTGAGCGCCAGTGGCGCAAAAGTACTTACCTGCCTGTCTTGGGAGGCGGCCAAAGTAGTGTAGCTCTTGCAACGTCCTGGTGGGCTTGAGGAGACAAGGTTGCCCGTCCCCTGCAGCGATAGGAGAGGCTAATAAGACGCGTCCGGCATGTCTTCATTAGGTCGATCCCATTCCCCTGGGTACACTGTGACGGTACGGAGGGCTGCGAAGATCTGGACCGGACCTGTCGTGGACTGCAGCCGGCAACGCAGCGACTTGCATCGGGGTGCAGACATTGCAGTGCAGTGCAATGCAGCGCAGCATAAGGCATACGACAGGGCTCAAGAGATGGAGTTCCGCACCGAGGATTGCCGATGTGTCTGGGCTGGGAAAGGACCGCATTGGTCTTAGGCTTTGGTATGTGTGCTGAGGTCGAAAGAGAGACGGTGATTTGACTCTCGTAATTGTAGCCATACAGCGAACAGGGCTGAGAGTCGGATGGCTCTCTTCGCTCTGGTGAGCAAGTTCAATTTCACGAGAGCGGCCGAGGCGCAGATTCTGGCGCAGCGCTAGAAAAAGGGAGGAAGCTGGCTGGCTGGCGGGCTAGCACTGTGGCATCATGACCAGGATCAACTTCAATCCAGGGCCAATGCCTGCCGGCAGAATGCTCGTCTTGGCGGCGGGTTTGGCAGCCTCTCAGAGTCTTGGGCTGAAGATCGACTTGCGAGACAAGACAAGACTAAACAATCAAAGAACGAGACGTGTGGTTCGGGCTCAATGACGCTCCACCAGTCAGCCGTCGGCTGCAGTGGTGCAGACGCTAAACCAGGGAAGATGGCATAGGTGGTCCTGGAGAGAGAGAAAGAGACAGTGCCAGTGGTGTAAGTCGTGGGTTGCGTGTGGTGCGTAGCGACAACTGCTAGCGTCCGCGCCGACGCTCACTCGATTAGCGTTATGGTCCATCCCATGATCCGCGTGGCTGGAGACGGACGAGGTGCTCCTCATCCATCTTGCTGGCCCGTCGGTCCCTTTCCGTGCTCCCGCGTCCGATTCGCCCGCCCGTCCATTATGTTTCCTGAAGCACGCCATGTCGAAAAACGTGTTCTTGGAGAACCTTGGACCGGTGTTTCGTAGGCGGCTTTTTACAGTTTTGCCGCCGACGGTTGAGCGTGGAAGAGAGGTATCCGTTCCAGTGGCGGGAAATATGAAGCAGACGGCTCTGGCACCAAGGCGACGGGTTCATTGTGCGATTGTTGCAAGTTTGTGGGCTCTCTGGTTACTGTCTTGAGCCTCGGGAGAGCAA